CAGGGCAGAAGCAGCTCCAGCTCGTGGTCCATGTTGTGGCCATGCTGGCTGTTGACTGAGGTCGTCCAGGCTGAGCAGGAGCTACCTGACCCTCAGGCTGCAGGCCTGTCGTGCAGCAAGCTGGGTGCAAAGCCCCATTTGCAGCTCAGGGCCTCCCTGGGGTCTCTGCAAAAAGGCATATACCTCACGGGCGGATGGTGCCTTGAGGAGAAGATCCCCCCTGGGGTGGAGGGAGTCCCCCTGTGGGGGTGGGGAGCGGGGCAATCCAGGGGCTGTAGGAATTGGGAGAGCAGGGAAAGAAGACACCAGAGGCGCTCGAGAGGGCAACATCCAAAACCACTCAGGTCCCTGCCCGCAGAGGCAGCTGTGCTGAGCCCTCCCCTTCTCTGGGGAATTTGTGTCACCCTCCTCCCCACGGCCACACCGACCTGACTCGCAGCTGCCCCTCATCCCGGTGACATTTCTTCTCGCACTGCTCTTTTTTATTTATAATAAGCTCCGTTTGCTGCAGTTTGATATTCTGCTGCCGCTGCTGTCTGTCCAGCTGGAAGAGCTGTGGGACGGAGAAGGGAACAAGGGAGGCATCAGGGCACAGAGCAGCGAGTGACCACGTGCAACAAGGCCCCACAGATGCACTGGCTGTGCCTTGTTGCCCCGATGCAGGGACACGTGGAGTCCGGTCCTGCAGTGCACTCGTGTGCCAAAACCCAGCCCTCTCCAGGCCCACAGCCCACATCAGCCCAGAAGACACAGGGGTTACTCACGGCCCTACCTGTCTCCTCACTTCCTGCATCTGTCCCAGCACTGCAGGATTCGGCTCGAGAAGAGGCAGCAGCCGTTCCTCCCTCTTCAGCTTCTTCTCAAGCCTTTTCCCTGCCCTCAGGGCCACTTGTGTGCTCTGGCGGAGCCTCTGGTAGTGGCCCAGGTCACTGATGGTCTGCCAGGGAACATGGGACAGTGCCCTGAGCACAGGGCCACCACTGGCGAAGGACTGCCTCTCCCACTCAGAGGGTCCCAAGGTGCTGGCAACCCCCTGCCACCCTCCACATCATCTGCAGCAGCCATCTGCCAGCTCAGGGCCCTGGCAGGCAGCTCAGGCTCTGCCCTGTGGGGACCCCAGTGACTCCTCTGCCCTTGGGTGCAAGGATTTCAGGCCGTGCAGCGAGGCCAGGGCACGGGGGAGGGCTGGACTGCTGGATGACAACTATAACCTGCCCGCATACAGAGCTGTTGTCAGCAGATCCAGCTGTGCAGATGCCTCACAGCCACTCACTCAGTTCTTGTCCCAGGGCTCCTGGCACCGGAGCATCTCCTCCTCCATGGGGTCCCAAAACATGCGGGCTCTCATCCTGCCCTTGGAGGTGTCAGGCGGTGGCTGGGAATTCTCGCTTGCTTGCTTTTCTTCAAGCAGAGGCAGCTGAAGAAAGACAGCAGATACTTAGCAGAAACCAACCTGGGGCCCAGCCTCTCCCCAGCCCAGAAACAACTCCCCAGCCGCATGTGGGGAAGCTGCAGGGGCTCGTCGAGCTCAGCGCTGCCCCAGGACCCAGCACTCATGTCCCCATGTCCTGCTTCACCGAGCAGCAGGCAAGAACAAGCAGCATCACTGCTCCCCGAGGGAGAGCTCTGCCCATTCAGTGTCCAGGCGCTAGGACGGCCCGGGGAGGAGGTTGTGGGGGAACTGGAGGCCTTGTGTTGCGTTAGGAAAACACTCCAGCAATGGAGAGAAAGAGAGCTCCAGATTGCAAGATTTGGCAACCAGGAGGAGCAGATGTGAGAAAACGCCCAGCAAGTCGCTTACCTGCACAGTCTGCGAACTGCTCCTCTCCTCCATGCCCCTGTGGCCAGGACGCTTAGGGACTAAGGGGGTGATTATCATGATGGGTAACTAAAGGTAATAACTAAGTCCTAACTACCTACCTACTCACTAAACTAATTTTAAAGATTAGTACGACTAGTTGCTAAACCTGCTAATACTCCTCTACCAATACTAATTATGAAGAATACAGATAATGAACAAAAGACAACTACAAAGCAATGCGACAATCGACTAACTCCACTACTATCATCCGTGTCAAGCACAGAGTGAGCAGGAAAAATCCTTTGCTCTGCTTGTATCTCTGCCCCAGCACCATCGTCACGGCAATGTGATGGCAAAGAGGACACGCATCACAAAGCCGGCGCAGCCAGGCCTTGTTGAAGCGTAGTTGGGCAGGGACACTGGGCCAGGGCCTCCACCCAATGTACTACCAGACATTGCCATGGTGGTTAGATGTCTCAGGGGGATCCTATTCCATCCTGAACCCCAGCATCACATTGAAGGCTCATGTTCATCTTGTGGTCAATCATGACCCCCAAGCCCCTTTCATCTGTAGTGCTAACCAGCGAAGCACTGCCAAGCCTATTAACATGCCGCAGGTTTTTCCCCCCAAGGTGGAGAACCTTGCATTTTTGGTGTTATACACTATCAGGTTCTCGTCCGCTCACTTCATGAGGCTGTCAAAATCTTCCTGTTTCACCCTCCTGTCCTCCCGTGTGGATGCTTTACCCAAGTTTGGTGTTGTCAGCAAACTTGGCGAGCCTGCTTCTGACACCAGTGTCTACATCATTGATGAAGACGTTAAAAAGTATAGGCCTTGGACAGAGCCTTGAAGGACCCCACTGGTCACAGCGCACCAAGACGATTGACTTCTGTCAACCACCATCCTCTGGGTCCTACCACGGAGCCAATTCCCCCGCCAGCAGATTGTGGTGAGGCTGAGGCCACAGTTAGCCAGTTTTGCCAAGAGGTAATCATGGGATACCAGTTCAAAGACTTTTTTAAAGTCAAGATATATAACGCCAATCTCTTCCCCCTTGTCCAGGTGATAGGTCACCTGGTTGTAAAAGGAAATGAGATTGGTCAAGCAAGACCTACCCGCAACAAACCCGTGCTGGGTATCCCTCAGGATATTACCATCAGCTAGTCTGTTAAGGATGGCCTCTTTGATAATCTTTTCCAAGACCTTCCCCAGGATAGAGGTCAGGCTGATGGGCCTGTAGTTTGCTGGATCTACTTTCCTCCTTTTCTTGAAGGTAGGCACCACATTGGCCTTCTTCCAATCTTTGGGCACTTCACCACAGCACCAGGAGTTCTTGAAGATGTGTGCCAGGGGCTGAGCTACGATGCTCGCCAGCTCCTTGCATACCCTGGGGTGTAAACTGTCAGGGCTGGCTGACTTGAAGGCATCCAGCCTGTCAAGGAGTTCCTTCACAAGGTCAGCTTCGATGGAGGGTAAGGAGTCTCCCTCACCTGGGCATCCCTGACCCACAGTGGGCCGGGGCGTCCCATGCAACTGGTGAAAAACTGACGCAAAGTACCCATTTAGCAAGTTTGCTTTTTCATAGGCATCGGTTGTCAGTTGTCCCATCTGATTTAGCAGGGGTTCAATGTTGCCCTTGCTTTTCCTCCGGCTCCCCACATATCTAAAAAAGGACTTTTTATTGTCCTTGATATTTG